TTAGGGAATGGGCTGTTTATAATAACAGGAGAATAATCACAAACTGCACCATGCTTTCCCTGATGACTGCTGTGGAAGATGAATGCTACAGAGATGCTGGACCTGCTGGCAGATATGTGGAGGGGTTGTGTTTGCATGCGGATGGTCTGGCAAATACCCCTCAGAGCCTGGCTTTTAGAAACTGGATTGTGAAGACAATGAGCATTTGGGCATCCCAGCGCTGCTGTGCTGGGGCTCGCAGCTGGGCCGTGGCTGCTCAGTGCAGCAGTGCCTGGAACTATGAAGCGATAGTTTTATGGAAAAATTGTGGGGTGGACTCAACCCTGAAAGGTTTTCAAGTACAAGCCCTAATCCTCAAGCCTAATCTAGGTCAGCCTAGAGCCCAAAGGTACCTACACTCAGCCTGTGTACCTACAGTTTGCCCTTGTGCTGGGAGCTGGGCACCCAAACACTTCCCCAGCCCTTCCTGGGCAGGTTCAATTGCACAAGAAAAAAGGAGAGTGGTAGTGCAAAAGCCTTTCCTCTTTCCCCTCTAAGATAAACATTGTTAATTTTGCTTCACCCCATTGAGAAGAAACTATGAATTTACTCTCGGCTGTTTCCATGAAGTTGCTCTTCTCTCACGCATCTATGGTTGATGGTAATGATTACAGCAACAGCAGGTGCTGCTGATGTGTCCCTTGCAAACCTTCATCTTTACAGCAGACTGTACTAGCCAGCCTTGCCAGCTCTACTCCCACTGTGGACAGTAGTGCTTCAAGGGAGAAATACAATGCAATAAGGTGAGGAAGATGATCCTTCCCCTTCCAGGCTGGAAAGCTGTAACATGAGTGTGTGCACTAGGTGAAGGGTTTGTTTTGGTTTGGTTTTTTTTTGCTTCTTTTAATTTATAATGAGCTTTTAGTTGGTTGCTAATTTGTGAAGTGGACTGGCTAGTAAACATCCCTGACATGTCACTGCTGCCCACAATCCTTGATGTTTCAACATGGCTCTCGATACTTGCCTGCCATGGTCACCAACTGTGGCTTAAGACAGGGGAAAAAGGTCCCCTAGCTCCTTCCCAGTGCTGTTTCTGAAGCCTTCATATAGGTCTAATGCTGTAGCAGAGCCAAAAGCCTGGGTGGAAAAAATTGTGAGAGAAGTCTCTGCAGGCAGAGCTGGGATGGGGTGAGCTGCTTCTGCATTACCTGGGTTATGAACCTCCCTGCCCTAAATCCCTGTGAAAGGCCATCACCCCAAGGCCAGTCACCATCCTGCATCATAGTGCAGGGCAGGATTAGGATTTGCCTCTGGCTCTTCCCACCCTGCTCAGCATTGGCCAGGTTTGCCTGTACACCCTGGGCATGTTAACATGGGACTGTAATTTTGGGGAGGAAGTGGAGCAGAAAATACCTAGCCCTCCAATTTGCTCTTAATGGGGGGTTGCTGGTGTGGTGCTTATGGCTCTCCAGAAATCTGCCTCTTCAGGCATTTCCTGCAAGATCCTAATGCATGGGACATGTCTGCCTTGGGATGCCAGGGGACTTCGACAGTGATCCGTGGCTTCAAGCTCAAGGGATGTTTCTTGGCAATGCAAGTGCCACAAGATGTTGTTTTCCTGGTCTTGGCCATTCAATCTGCTTCAGCTTCAAAAAGCCTTTGAAACATGAATGTAACTTCTGGAGATGCTAAGTGTGTGTTATGCATCGTAAGATGCTTCCAGCAGAAACTGCTTGCTATCAAAGTGCAACAGAGCCTGGGGGTGCATGTGGGTTGGGATCTATCTGCACCTTTCTGGTAAAGCTGCACCTTCAGGGTACATTTGCAGTGGTAATCCCTGTCCCCAGCTGGGGCTTCTCCAGCAGAAGGAGGAGAAAAAAGTGGAGTTCTCAAAGTCCTTGTGGTTTTAAAATTACCGATTTCAGTACTTGCTGATTTGTAGGACTTGCTGTCAGGCATGCTGTCGCAGATCAGGGAACTGGATGGGACATGATGGGTGGACCACGGATGCAGGGATTATTATGGCTACCCCTAAATAAGACATTTGGGTGTGAATTAGAGCCCTGTGCCTGCTGCTTCCTTGCTCCTGGGTGCTTGTGGCCACCTTGCATAGGCCTGTGGGGTGAGTAACACTTGCACGCCCTCCCTGTGACAGGATGCTGCCTCTCTGGGCTGTGACTGCTCTGGTAGGACTTGTTTGTCACCTCTTGAGCTTGTTTAACCCCTGTCAGCTCTTTGCATGTGAATAAAGTAACCCATTTGCTGCCCCAGGCTGGAGCCCTGTGCCTGTGTCCTGCGTGCACCCTCATGGCCTCCACACAGCAGATGATGATGACCTCTTTTTGGCTGCTTTGCACTAGGCTATGAGATGGTGTCTGCTTGGGATTCCAGAGCCAGCATCCTCAGGATGAACATGGCACTGTGGAAAGGTCCTGCACCACAATGCTGCAGGCAGGGCTCTGCCAGGTGCTCCCTGCTGCAGTGGCAGCAACCATCAGTGGTAGCCAGATTCTGCTGCACAGAGCTGTGGATGATCGTCTCTACCCAGCGTGGGACCTGCCAGACCAGGAGGAGCCACAGTGTCAAGCTTTGCTGTGGCTGATCTTTGCCCAGCATTGAACCTGCCAGTGGTGTCAACCCTTGGTGACGGCCTCAAGCTTTGACTCTGGTCACCTTCTGGCCTGGAATGGACATGGTCTAGAAAGCTCAGCAGAGCTGCTCTATCCCTGCAACAGCCCAGCCAAGGGCAGGTGATACCACTCCAAAAGACGGACCTAAGAGGGGAGGACACTGTCAATGGGCTGGAGGAGACCCTGGATGAAGACCCATCACCTCCAACCTGCTGCAGGATGAGCACCATCAGGGGGATCTTCTTGATGTTGGGTCACCTCTCCACACCTGAGTAATGGCAAGGCTTCTGTCCCACTTGAAGGTTTCAGCATGTGGGCAAGTACCATCTCTTCCCTTTGGTGTCTGTGCTTGGGGCAGGGAGAGACCTCAGGAAGCATTAAATAGCTGTTGGATGCATCACCACAGCAGCTGATCCCAGGCGGTGAGTCAGAACCAGCCTGCAGGATGGTGGCATGAGTGACTCCTCCCCTCATCACTTGCTGTTTACTCATGTATTGGGGTTTTTTCTTTACCTATGTGTCTGCATACAGCTGGGATGAGCATACCCCCAGCACAGGGCAGGAGAGGAGTGAGAGGGTCAGGTTCAAAGCAGGAATGAAATGACCAAGAGTACCCCAGCATCTGCCTGGAGCACATCCAAAGGGATGGACTGCTGCTGGCCCCGTAGACACCTTCATCCTCTTTGGATGGTGAGCTCATCATAGCCTGCTCTCAAGTACAAATACATCTTTATTTATTAGTTATGAGTTCTTATTACCCCAGCCCAAACCCTGGCATGAAAGGGTTCTAGTCTTCTGGATTTTGCAGTTTTAATTAGGCTTGCTGGGAAGCTCTCACTGTGCTTCCTGCCTGCCCAGTGTTGTACCCAGCCCTCTGCCAGGGTGGACGTACCAAGTGAACTCCCCAAAATGGGTGAAACCTCAGCACTGGTGGGATGCTTGGCTCAAAACCTGCATGCTGGTACCAGACAGTACTTGTTAGGAGGTCTGTTAGAGATGTTTGGGATGCAGCCAAGAGGCATTTGGGATGCTTTGGGATTTGGGTTGCAGCTGGCTATGCTGTTGCGTGCAAAACTGGTAGGTTTTTTTCCTCCTAAGCAAATATGATTCTTTTTTCTTCTGAGTGTTTGCGAAGTGTTTGCAATCCTTGGCTGGAAGGTGCTGTCTCAGCTTCTCAGAATTCCTGTGTAGGATGTTGGGGGAGTCCCTGCAAACTGTTTGTGGTCCTCACTTGTGTAAGGAGGATGGCTGGCCAGTTTTCTGAGCTGGCCATATATTATTTCAGGTTCTGGGACACCACCAAACCCTTGTGAGTCCTGGCAGCCATTAGGGTGGTGGTTTGCAGGAGCTGTGCACAATGTGCATCCCTCTCCTGCACATGCAGGAATGCTGCTTCAGCTCCTCTTCAGCCTGACAGCTTCAGGGAGATTGGGAGATGGCAGTGCCAGGAAAGAGAATAAAGCTGCAGGATCTGAGATTGTTAATTAAAAAGCACTAACAACAACCAAAAAAAAAAAAAACAAAACCCTTCGCCCCCCCTGCCAGTGTCAGCATTTGAAATTTCCAACTCCCAGTTAGGAAATTTGGTGTAATTGTGGAATCATCCTTACCCTCAATTTTAGGACCCATTGCATGGGGAAGGGAGCAGAAAGTCACTTTGTTAATCTGTTTCCAATAAAGTTATTTATAAATCTACGGAGGGGGGTTATAAGAATAAAATGAGAGCAGCTTTTGGGATGCTTCCTGATGCCTACAGCCACCTGCTTACTTCCCTGTGCTGTTTCTGGGACAGCCAGCAGGACCCGGCAGCTGCCTGCACTTCTGGTTCATGGTCAAAGTGACCTCCTAGGGCAGCTACAAACAGAGGCAGCTGGAAATTGTCCTTCTGCTGAGAAGTGCTGCTTCCTGTAGAAAAGTGTTTCTTGTACAAAAACCAAGAGCCCATTTTGCTACCTGGTGGTGTAACAAAGACACTTGCTAATTAAAGCAGGGGGTCGGCAGTAAAGCTTGGAGAGAGGAGGGTCATGTTTGCAAGTGGAGGAACAGTGCCCCCCAGCTGCTTATTATTTTAGAAGTGATGGTAAAGAGCTGAGTGGGGCTACAGCAGAGGTGATGCTGGTGTGGTAGGTTACTGGAGACAAGATGCTGCATGTAGGTTGTGATGTGTGCAGGGCACATTGCTGTCCTCCCAGATGAGGATGAGCTTTCATCCCATCCGCTCCTCCATGAGGGCCAGGCCTTTGAGGGAAGAGGGGCAGCTGGGCTGGGTTTGGGTGGGCTGGGGGGAGCAGATCCTTAAATTTTTCATGACGAGGGTGGTGACAACCTGGCACAGGGTGCCCAGAGAAGCTGTGGCTGCCCCATCCCTGACAGTGTTCAGGGCCAGGTTGGACAGGGCTTTGAGCACCCTGGTGTAGTGGAAGGTGTCCCTGCCTGTGGCAGGGGGGTTGGAACGGGATGATTTTTAAGGTCCCTTCCAACCCAAACCATTCTATGATCCTGCCCTGGAAGAGGTGAGGAGGGCAGGCTGAGGAGGCAGCAGCTCCCAGCCATATTTACCACACCCTTGCAAGGGGGCAGGTAACATCTCCTATCTGGCTATGAGCTGGAGACAGCAACCCCCAAGGAAAACTTGGGTTATGGTGAGCAATTGGTTAACAGGGCTGTCCTGTGCTTGCTAGAATTTAAGGACATAGTAATAAAAACAACTGGATTTTCAGATGCCTGGGGATGTGTCTGGGAGAGGTGCACCAGCTGCTTTTTGGGTGCTTTCCCCTGTATCAGGACAGAAACTGCTGCTCCCAGCTCTTTGGCAGCGGTGCTGCTGGTAAATGATCATCAAGGTGGGGCCGGAGGTTGGTGCTGGGTTTGAACCCAGGCAGGTGCCTGGGACTGGTGTGCCAGCAGGCATCCTGCTCCCACACCCAGCAGCGTACAGCAGCCTCTGGAACTTCCAGGCTAGGTAAGGCTGTGCCACACCTGGGTTATTGCTTTCTTATTTCTTTCCAAGCTCCTGGCCTCCCCCTGGGGTCGGGGCAGGAAAAGCTGGGTTTGATGCTGACAGGGTCCCTGGCTGGGGTGGGGGTGCTGCTCACCAGTATGCTTTGCCACCCCAGATTTGGCATTAGGGTGCTGTGTTGGGAGGAACCAGTGGCTTCAGGGTGAGCTGGGTGGTGCCGTGGAGGTGCTTGGACTTTGCTCTGCACCAGGGGCCACTTGTGGCTTTGAATGCGCAGGGTGTGGGGAGTGGTGACAAAGCCCAGCTTTGGGATGAAATTGGGCTGAACCTTGCAAATCTGAGGGGGTTTGGGCTCACAGGGAGAGCAGCTGAGCACACGGTGCCCTTCTCCCCCACTGGTTTTCCCCAGCCACCCAGCCAAGGCAAACATGAACTCAGCACCAAGGTATTTGTGGCAGCCACTCCGTGCCCACCTTCCAGAGGTGAGCAGGGGGGGTGGCATCTATGGGCAGTGGCCTCGACAAGTGGCGTCTTCCCTGGTTTCTCCTTGTTTTCTCATGTTATGGCTAAACTCCCTCATCGCTGGGAATGAGACCCTTCAAGCCCTCCCTTCGGTTACTCAAGCAGGCAGCAAGCAAGAAGTGGTGTTTAACCTGAGGCCAAATTTCCTTGCAGCCTGACTACAAACTTGGGAGAGCTGCAGCTGAGGGATGGAGAGGCTGCAACCAGCCGGGATAGGTTGGGAAAGTGGTTTGGGACCCTCCAAACAGAGGGCCTGAGAATCTCCTGTATACAGCCCTCTGCTTATGGCTTTCAGATGAGCCCAATGCTAGAAAAAGAGAGTGTTATAGGGGGAGGAAATGTACATCTTTGTTTGCACAGTGTTTGAAAACACCATAAGCTCAAATATCTGAGTCCTTTACAGTTTCTGCTTTTTTTTTTTTTTTTATTAGGGGCTTTTTGGTGTTTTTTTTTTTTGAAGGCTTTTGCAGTTGTTGAGCTGCTGGAAGAGGCAGGAGTTGGGTGCACCCGGGCTAACACAGGACAAGTAACTGCTGGGTGGCAGTCAGGCTGGGCACCAGCGCTGGTAGAGCATCCCCCGGGATCCCGGGCTTTGCCTGGCTCCCTCTCCCAAACACTACCTCTGGTTTTGTGCAGAAAGAGGCTTTATTTTAATCTCTTAATCAATTAATCTCAATCAATGTCTTAATTAAACTCTCTGATAAATTGAGATGGATATAAATAGTTTAAAATGTGCACTGCCTGCACCTTCTCTCAATATCCCATTGCGAGCGTGTGCAGCCAGTGGTTTCTCTGCCTTTTCTACTATTGTTTGGTGCTGTGCTGCTAAATTGTAAGAGAAATCACAGTGAAAGTCCAACAAACCTGTTAAAGATCTGTGCTTGCAGCTGAAATAACCTGGGCATCTTCTTCTGGGCACCATGCAGGCACACAAACCCACAAACCCCATCATTTTCCACCGCAGGAAGATTTGAACCCCCTGCTTAAGCATGAGAAGCAAAAAAATCAAACAACTTTCTCTTTTTTTGCAGGTAAACACCAGTGTTCTAATAAAATCAACAAATGTGCAGTCTGTGTACAGGGTGAGCTGCAGACTGAGCTGCAGACTGAAGGAGGGCAGCAGCGAGCAACTGCTTGGTCTAGAATGCACCTTAAGGGATGCTGGTGTTAAAAGATGATCATTGACATTGCTCGTAAAGCTTCTCATGTTCCTCATTGGAAGCTTGGGATGGAAACCTGGTTTCTTTTCTCCCTACAGACCACCCATCCTGCAATGACCTAGTGCACCTGAGACCCGGCAGCCGTGGGGATGGAGCTGAAGGTCTGGGTGGATGGGATCCAGAGGGTTGTCTGTGGTGTCTCGGAGCAAACCACCTGCCAAGAAGTGGTTATCGCCTTGGCGCGGGCCATAGGTGAGCCATGTCCATCTGCTGGGCGAGGAGGGATGACCTTTTGCAGGTGCTTCCTGGGAAGAGGAGACCTTGGGTGGGTAGGGGTCCTGATCTGGGGGTGTCAGAAGCCTCAGTACATCACTGCTGGCCATGGCTTTCCCAGTCTGACATGCTCACCTCCTCCCGGCAGGTCAGACGGGCCGCTATGTGCTGGTGCAGAAGCTGCGGGAGAAGGAGCGGCAGCTGCTGCCACTGGAGTGCCCCTTGGAGTCGCTGGCCAAATGTGGGCAGTATGCCAACGACGTGCAGTTTGTGCTGCGTCGGACAGGCCCCAGCATGGCTGAGCGGCCCTCCTCAGAGGGTGCTCCCCAAGCCCCCGAGAGGACGTTCATCCGGGCCAGCTTGCCCATCAAGCCCAGGCCTGCCAGCACGGATGCACCCCGTTCCCGGGAGCCAAAAAAATCCATGACCTTCAACTTGGGTCCTGCAGGTGACCCATTTGCCATGAGCCGCTGGAGGCACCAAGCACGGGAAAGGATGGATTTGGAGGGCAGTGGGGTCCTCCAACCCTCCAAGGAGGAGCTGTTTAGGAGGGTGCTGCGGCAGCAGGAGCAGCTGCATTCCTTGGAGGCCCATGGGGACACCCTGGAGATGGACCTACGGCTCTGGGAGCGTGGCCGATTCACGGGTCAGGAGGATGAGATCCTCTACCTAGAGCACCTGGTGCGGAGGAATGAGACAGAGCTGGGTGAGGAGGAGTTTTGGCAAACTGAGCTCCGGCTGGAAAAGGAGTGCGAGCGGGAGCGGCAGGAGCGCGTTAGGAGCCTCCGGGCCAGTCTGGAGGAGTACACCCAGAGGATCTATGAGCTGAGTGCCCGGACTGAAGCCCTGCAGCAGGAGATCCAGTGGGAGATGGCAGAGAGAGCCAAGAGGGGGAAGGAGATCCCTGTGCCCAGCCCCACAGAGCTGGAGGACATGGCTGCCAAGATGAAAAGGGACCTAGAGGCCAAGGTCAAGCAAGGGACCCAGCTGGAGAGCAACCTTGCCAGTGTGGAGAAAGCCCTGGAGGAAGCTGAAAGGAATCTGCAGGTAGATAGGACCAGGTCAAGCAGCCCCATGGGGTGGTATGACCTTTGGGAGGTGACGGGACCAGCCTTCCAGCAGCCTGGGGGCTGATGGGTTGTGTGGGGTTGGTCTTGCCACACCTGGCTGATAAGCGTGGGGCTGGGTGCATGGAGGTGGCTCAGTGGCAGTAACCACTGTCAGGGGGACACCACTGCTCTTACCCAGCCAGCACAGGGTCCCACACAAATGCAGCTTGACCTTGTGCAAGCTGCATCTGGGCTGGAACTCCTCCTGGCTGGTGCACAGGAAGCACAGCATCACCCCACTGCCGCACAGACAATGGTGCCAGAGCAAATGGTCCATGTGCAGGGTCAGTGGCGTTGGCATAAGGGTTAATATCTTGGATAAAGGAGTCGCAGAGGGGAATAGGACAGTGTAGGTCCCATGGTGGCTGTGCATGAAACCTTTTGACCATGCAGACTGTGCAAGGGCCTGCGCAGTGTGATGATGGCAGCTGTGGGGCTGAGCTTCCAGCATCTTGTCTTGAGCATTTCATTTGTGTCTGGCACCTCCCAGCACCGCATCGGCCACAGTTTGATGGCTGCTCACACCCTCTTGTGGAGATGCAGCAAAGCAGGGCCCTTCCCAAAACAATGCCTTCCTCATCCCTTCTTTCCACAGGCCCTCAGAGAGGGGTGGCTGAGCCACGCTACCCCCGAGGTCTCTGCTAGCTGTGGCAGGGTAAGCCCCAGCTAGGGGAAGCAGCCCCGGGGTGGGTATGCCAGCTGGTTTTGGGGCATGGGAGGGACATGCAGCTCACCCTGTCCTCCCCCTCGGTGTGTGTTTTGCAGGCCCAGACCCAAGAGCTGGAGGAGTTAAATAAGGAGCTGAGGCAGTGTAATTTGCAGCAGTTTATTCAGCAGACGGGGGCCACGGTGACTGTCCTGCAGGCCAGGTCCGAGGAGGATGCCCAGCCGGAGCCGAGCCAGTGCGAGCTGCCAGCCTACCGGAGAAACGGAGGTCAGCACGCTGCTGCCGGCTCGGCCGTGGGGGCTGCTCCGGGGGACTCCTGCCCGCTCCCAGCCTCCCCCTCCAAAGGGGTCAGCACCCCCTCCAAGGGTTCAGCCCCAAAGCTGGCCAGTTCTGCCCTGGGCACTGCTGTTAGGCAGCAGGAATGGAGTTTTGGTGCTGGCACAGCACTCACTCCCCACCCCAGGGGTCTCTGAGGTTTGCCAGCCCCGGGACTCCTTCCTCCTCCCCACTGAAGCCTTGGGGTTGTTTGTAGCCACGCTCAGTGCTCAGATCCTGCATTGCTGTTTTGGGGGCTGGGGCAGCTGCAGGGATCTTTCCTTCACAGCATTGTTGCATGCTGCTGCCACAGCAGTGGCAAAAAGGTTGCTGAGGGCCAGTGTCATCCCCCATTGGCTGTGGCCGGTGGGGATGGGCTCCAGCCACCGATGACCTCTTTGTGTTGGGGATGGGTGAGCATGGTGCCTGGGGCCACGTCCACATCCTCACAAGGGTGAAAGGAGATGGTGGGGGGGCTCCTGTGGAAAGTGACATGGAAAAATAGGGACCTGGTCACTTCTCCTCTGGAGTACCCAGAGAGGATGATGTGGCTGCCCCATAGCACTGCAGCAGCTGTGCCCAGCAAGCACAGGGGAGGTGCAAGCCCAGCCTGAGCCAGGCATTTTTCCCCATCTGTAGGTTTTCCTCCCACTACCGGCACAGACTCGCCTCCCCAGGCCAGCACCAAACAGCACCTCAGCCATCCCAGGACCCTGCCAGAGCCACTGGTGTCCAGCCTGAGCCCTGAGGGTGCGTATGTCCCAGCAGGTGCCCAGGAGCACAAGCTGGGATGGGGAAGGATGCGTGGGAAGGACGGGAAAAGGCTTTTGCTGCCCAAAATGGGCTGCAGAGAGCAAGCGTGTGCTGGGAGCAGGAGGCCAGAGCTATTTATAGATGCCATTAGGAAGAGCAAAGCTTACACCCTGGCAGCCTTCGTTCTGCTGCCAGGGGCTCTCATGCTGGAGGTCCAGCTCTCTGCCCTGCCAGGAGCTGCGGAGAATGTTCTGCATCCCCTCTCCTGCCACCCTGCATCCCCCAGGGCTAAGACCTTGCTAGGGTTAGGATGGGGATGATTTGGCGCCCATCTTATACAGGAGTCACTTTTGCTCCATCATGGGGACCAGTTTCCTCCAAAACTCCTCCCACCTACTGTGATCCTAATCCTAGCCCTGTACCACAAAAGAGCAACCTATGATGTTCCTGCCTGCCATGGCAATGGTGGCTGCATGCTGGTATGCCATTCCCACCCACACCACCATCCGCTCAGCAAGACCCTACTGCCGTCCTCCTCACAGCCCAAAACGTCCACCCCTGTCTCAGGAGATGCACTGGCATCTGCATGTCCATCTCCCAGCCCAGGCTTTGCCCTCACGTACGTCCTGTTTTCCATTCCCCTTTTTGTTTGCCTGCTGTGATGGGGTTGCTCAGGTGGTTTTTGTCTTGTCTTGCAGTTGTATCAACCAGGCAGAGCATCTGGAGGTAGAAGGGCCTGGCCAGTGGAGGATCAATTGCCTTGCAAGTGTAACTGTATAAATAAACCATATTTTATATATATATATATATATATTTTTTTTTTACTGCTTTATATTGTGAATGGATGTGGACGGCCAGAGTATTTTTACAGACTGTAAAATAAAACCAGAGACCAACAACACAAAGCAACCCTCCTCCCTGTGGATGGAAACAACCTCATTCTATTTTTATTTTTTGAGAGCTTTCTATATTCAACAGAAAACAGCAGTGCTCCCTTTCCACACAGCTTCCTCAAAAGACCCATCGTCCATTTGGAAAAGTCCTTGCTCTTTTGACTAGGGGAGCAAAGCTGCAGTGGAGACCTGCCTGGAGACTCACCTGGATGGAGCAAGTTAACAGATTTTACAGCACCTCTCCGCAGGAAATGGGGCCATGACACACAACCTCTTCATGGGCTACAGGAGATGCACAAGAGCAGCTCTAAGACAAATTTTTGCTCCTCCCTTTTATAAGAAATCTCTAGTAGAAACCCCTTTATCATGGTGCCATGGACCAGGCTTTAGGGGAGCAGGGAGCACACAGCAGGGGCTTTTTTTTCTTAAATCCCCTTAATTTTTCAACTTGTTTCTAAAATACAGTCCTTGAACGAGCCCTTCCCCAGTGGCAGTGCAGGTGGGGAACAGGATCAAAGTGCACTTGGTCACATTTCACTGATTTATATTTTGGTTTTCTACTTGATGGCCAGTAGTTACTCTCGGGTGTTGTTCATCTGTCCCAGTGGGTCGCCTTGTATTTTAATTGCAAAACCAAAGTGGTCTGGGGAGGGGATGGGTTTGTCGAGAAGGTTTTCAACACAAAAACTGCAAAAACTGTGACTCGGGCACCCCACTTTCCCCTACGAATGTAACCCGGTGTGCCGCGGTTTCCATCTTCAATAAATCTTTGGGAAAGGATTTGAGCAAAGTGAGTGTGCGCGTGCTGTTGTGGGCCTGGGAGAGCCCTCTCTGATGGCTTCTGGTCAGGTGCCCCATGGGCACATCGCACCCTGTGACCACCTCTTTCATTTCCAAGCCATCTCTTCCCCTTTGCTGAATTGAAGCTGTAAGTATTTTATGACTGAATGCATCTTATGCACATGCTGCTCTTTTCCTTTGTTCTTATTTATTTCATTTTTATTTTATTTTAAATCACAAAGTGCTTTACAACCAGCAGATGAAGCTTGTCTCCGGTGAGAGGCCAGCCATCTCTGGGATGAAGCATGGCAGCATTTTAATAATGCACAGCAGCAGCGTGGAGCATTTTAGGACAGGAGGCGAAGGGGATAGCGCTTGGCTGCAGATATGAGCAGGTAAGGGTGGAACCTCTCATTCACCTTCAAGCCCCTCTGTCTACCCCTGGATAACTGCAAGCAAGAACGTCTGCTCTTGCTGTCCATCAGTGTCTCCCCTGAGACTGCTGGGCTCTGGGCCCTGGGGATGTGCCCCTCTCAAAGCTGATTTTTTGAGGTGCCACTGCAGCCCAGCAGGTTGGCCAAGTGATATTGAAGGATTAAAGTATGCTTTGTTGGGAGAGTGCTGGTACAACCAGTTACGACGGAAGAGCTGCTGCAGTGAGGAGATCCAATTTCAGAGTTGTCTTTTTTGAATCATGGGGTTTGGGGCTTTTGGGTTGGTTGGTTTGTTTGTTAGTTTTTTTCTTCCTCCTCCTTAAATCACATATGTCAGGGAAAATGAGGTAAAACTGTTTGCTCTGTGCAGCCGCATCTAGGAGTTTCTCTCCTGTTTGCTTCCTTTTGGGGCTTCTTGCGGTCAGCTTTTTCGACTCTTGCTTTTAAAAGTGAGACTCCATCTTGACAGGAAGAGCAGCAGAGGGTGATGGAGGTTGTAAAGAGCATTTCAGTGCTGCTTGGGGGGAAAACACCCAAAAAACAGATTCAGAAAATCCACTTGCCTTGGACATGGCCAGATTTGGGATGTTGCGCAAAGTCCTCTGTGTGCCCTGAAATGCTGACCTCTGCAGGTTAAAAACTGGATCTTCTGGTTTGGGGGCTAAACCTGTAGCTTTGCCTTCTGCAAAATAGATGGGAATAAAGACCAAAGAGTCACTGCTTATGGCACCTCCTACTGGGAAAAACAGGGCAGAAAACTAATCTGAATCTCTGATTTTGCATAGGATTTTTGCCCTGCGCTTCTGTTTATATATTTGATGATGCTTTTTGTGGGTCACTTCCACTCAGCCGTGATCTGACAGGTCAAACCAGCATCAGTCTGCCTTGGGGCGGGGGAATAGTAGGGGAAATACGGGTTTAAAAAATATGCATCACTGCAGATTTTGGCCCTGAGTACTGGGATGCAGGATTCGGAACTGATGGGTGGGATGGGGGACAGCGTGACGTGGCTGTGTCTCTCAGAAGTTTAACACATGGGGTTAGGGTGAGTGCCATGGCTCAGGGGTATCTGCTTTTCCAGCACAAAGCTGTGGCATTTTGTGTCCCATAAACCATCACCCAGCTGCTGCAAAGGGAGCTGTGTTTTCTAAGGTGATAAATTACTTTGATTAACGCTTCTCTCCCTGCTGTGGAGCACACCAGTGTGGGGAGAGGCATTAATCAAACTCATTTATTACCTTGGGAAACTCCCACCCGCGGGTGACCTATATTCCTCCTGGTACTGGGGGTGTGCAATGGCGGGGGGGGGGGGGGGTGCAATGGCATGGTGAGCGTGCAGGTCCCCACGTGTTATTTCACCCAGTGAGGTTCGATACCTGCTCTGGCTCCCCTGCCTTTCTCTGCTCCAAAGGCTGTGTCAATAATACATTTCTGCCATTGAATATTTTATTGATGGCTTGACTTTTTTTGCTGCTTGCAATTCCCATTTCAAGGCTGCGTGATTGTTCCTAATTAAAATTTTATGCCCTGGGAGAAGCCTTCTTGCTACAGTGGAGATGATGCTGTCCTTTTCTAGGCCACTACAGAGTGCTAGGAAGGAATTACTCATTGTTATGAGATTAAAACAAAGCAAATGAATTATTGTTTTTTCCCTTAAAAACAAAAACACAAACCAAAAGCCCAGCACACGATGTGTACTGGAGAGGGAACAACCAGCTGCTTGTGGCTGAGGCAGGGATCCAAGCATACCAGGTGCCTCGAGGATGCTGTGCTTGGGTGAATGGAGGACAGCCATGTCCCCATGTCCCTCAGGAGCTGTGGACCAACTTCTTCTTTCCCTATGGCAGGCAGGAATGGGCTTCAGGGCTTCTCCCTCCTCGAATGCTTCTCACCACCACCTCCAGTGGCACCCAGCAATCACAATGCAAAGGACATACCTGTTTTTTCACTGGTGAACAGCCCCAGCATCCTTTTGAGTTTTTATTTTCAATTAGCTCTGCAGCCTCTCAGGCCAAGGCACCACTGAGGAGAGCAGTTCGGCCACCCAGCCCCCTGGGCCTCTTCTCCTTTCTGTGCTACACAATTACTATATATTTTTTTTTATATTGCATAAGCAAATAAAATGGCTCCCAGCTCCTCACCCATCTACCCTGGGCTGTGCCAGCTCTTTGGGTCAGGCATCATCCGCAGATGGTGCTGCCCCAGACCAGTACAGTTCCTCAAGGGCAGCACAGCTGCGTACATCTGAAAGACACCCAGTTTGCAGTCATGGGTTCGTACAAGTTCCTCAGTGTCTGAGTTTAGGTTTTCCCCCCCCTTAAATCTCACCTAGAGTGCTAGAAGCAAGCATTCGTGCTGCCTCCCAGCCCCTGGACTTGGCAAGCAGCTTCTAAAGTACACGCTTCAGCACCAGTTACATAAGGAAAGGTGTGAATGACTGGAGGAGAAAATGCCTGTTGGTTTTGCTCCCCAAGCTGTATACAGATGCTCTGCTGCTTGCTCCTGGGCACACAGTTCCTATGAGGGTAGTTCACTGCAGAGGGAGAAGAGAAACTCCTTGAACTGGCATGTGTGTTTGTGCAGGGAGCAATGTCTGCTCTCCCTATGATGTTTTTCCTTTCCCTGTCTCAGGGTAAAGACTGAGTGCATTCTACCTTGCCCTGAGAAAAAAACAAAAAAAAAAAAAAAAACAAAAACAAAAAAGATTTAAAAAAACATAAAGCACTAGAGGAAGCTGGGAAATTTC